AAGGCTAATCATTAAAAAAAAAAAAGGCATGCAATTAAAAATTATATGACCAGAGCACAATGACTACTTTTTGAATTTAAAGAATAGTATTTTCACCCTGGCCAGTATGGCTCAGTTGGTTGAGCATTGTTCTGTGCACTGTAAGGGTTGCAGGTTCAATTACCAGTCACAACACATGGCCAGGTTGCAGGCTTGATCCCTGGTAAGGGTGCATGCGGGAGGCAGCGGATTGATGTTTCTTTCTCTCTCTCCCTTAAATAAAAAAAAACTTATTTTTAAAACAGGAATAACATTTTGGGTGTTTGAATATAAACTCAGATGATTTCTAAGAGAGAAAATTTGTGGAAAATCTCTTAAAATGAAACAAAACAAGCTGGAGCCTTTAGTATCTGTAAGTCACTCTATAATTTGACAGGATCAAGGTAATGAGAGGATGAAAGTAGTTAAGAGACATAATCATGAATATAATTTGGTTTTTCAAAGACTTCTGAATACAGTCCTCACAGCATATTAAGGAAATACACAAAACATAATGGCAAATTCTATTTGATTAAAAGTCACTAAAAATATGAGATTTTAAAAATATGAGAAAGTACCCAGCTTCTTAGCAGCACTGGAAAATAGGGAAGAGTACTATCAAATAACCAGAAACTTTGAAGAATTTCTGTAATATATAATCTAAATAGAACTATATAATGGAGAAAATCAATCAATTGCTGAGAGACTCTAACCAAACATAGGTAAAGGATTGTATTTACTCCTAAGGCATTCTAAATAGATGAGCTGTCCTGGGGAAACACCCAAGCTAAGAAACAAGAAATGGGAGTTGATGGAAAGTATTGAAATACCTGAGATTTTAAGACCTGTGCATCTCTCTCTAATCAAACAAAGCTTCTAGCTGCACTGTTTGCCACTAGGCACAAAATGTACAGTAGTATTACTTTTTATTAATTTTAAAAGGAGAAAAAGACAAGGACTACCATAAAGAACCTACTCTAAATGTGAAATTGAAAAAAAATTAGCTGATGGCATTCTCAGGAAAATGCAATAGGATGAATTAAGGTTAGAAATGAAGGTAGGAACACAAATAGTACAAAAAGATCAAAATAATGAACAACGTGGTAAATAAAATTCTTCATAGGAACAGAGCAATGTAAATAGAAAAGCTATTTAATTATAAATATTTGAAATGCATTTGTACTCCTGGCCTCCAAATTAATTTAAATATCTTTTAGAAAAGTCCTAAAAAATCACCAGAGAAATTTCAATACAGCTAGGTAGGTAGAGGGATACATAAATAGATATGCAATATTTACAAGTAATGGTAAAATTTAGATGGTGAACATAAGGTTTTCCATTGCAAAATCCTTTTCATTTTGTTATATGTTTGACATTTTTCACAAGTAAAAAAACAACTTTCAAATATCTCAGAGAAGATGCTGAATCAAAGCTCAAACTTGGGCAACATTGGACAACAGTGAAAAAGTGGGTAGGCTAGAGCGAAGAGACTAAAGGCAAGAATGTTGGTTTGGTTTGTGTTTTTTTTAGCACTTTTACATATATGACCATTTCATCAAGAATCTGACAGGATCAAGGTAATGAGAGGATGAAAGTAGTTAAGAGATAATATCTCAATAGTGCCTGGTATTGAGGAGGCACTCAATAAGTATTTTTGAATGAAATGAATGAAGACTAATCATTAAAAAAAAAAAAGGCATGCAATTCAAAAATTATATGACCAGAGCACAATGACTACTTTTTGAATTTAAAGAATAGTATTTTCACCCTGGCCAGTATGGCTCAGTTGGTTGAGCATTGAAAGGCAAGTGATATTATCTCCACTACACACACACCCACACACACACACACACACACACACACACATATCACCCCTAAGGCTCTGAGAGTACCTTAACTAAGTTATACTGACATCAGTGAATAGTAAACCTGGGATCAAAATATGTATGTAGGTTTAAAAATCTTCATAAAATCTAATCTATCTTTATCATTGATTTTCCACAAGTATCTAAGAAAGTGACTCTATCTCAGCTTTACTTGGAGAAGCACTTTCAATAACAAAAACATATGAAATATACTTTATAAAACGTTTTTAAAAAATGTTTTTATTGATTTTAGAGAGAGGAAGGGAGAGGGAGAGAGAGAGTCATTGATCTGCTGCCTTCTGCACACCCCTCACTGGGGATGGAGCCTGCAATGGAGCATATGCTCCGATCAGGAATTGAACCAGTGACCTTTTGGTGCATGGGAAAACATATTTTTACAATATACTGTACAAATATAAATGACTTCTAGTTTCACTCCTTTATAATTTTCAAAGTTAACTGACTTACATATTATTTTATTTGTATTTGTTATATGTATACATCTTTACAGTTCTTTTAGCACTATAATTCCCTTGAAATTAGAATTCTGATCTGAATCATTACTACAGTCTTTGTAATAGCACCTTGGATAGTAGTTTAATGAATGTTCACATACAGAAAGAATGTGATCCTCACAGTAAATATGCAAGATGGCTAGGAAATCTACTCATGTTATCCTTATTAAGCACTTGAAACAGAAGTAGAGTAAACTCTGATGCTATTTCTCAGCTAAAAAGCTCATTTGTTGAGCTAAGGCTCTGGTCTTTTCCTATTACACTACTGACTCAAAAAAGATACTAAGCCTAATTCTCCAACTGAGAGTCTGGCAGGGTAGCCAAAGGAAAATACTTTAGTTATGTTATTTTTTTAAATGTTTGGAAAACCCTAAAATATGGATCTTCATGTGAATATAAAATATTTGTAACCTTTCGGCTTTCTTTTTGTTTTACTGGGACGGTGGTAGAAGGAAAATAAAAGTGCGTCTTAAAAATCCTACACTTGGGCCCTGGTGATGTGGCTCAGTTGGCTGGGCATTATCCCATGCACTGAAAGGTTGCTGGTTCTATTCCTGGTCAGGGCATATGCCTGGGTTGTGGGTTTGATTCCAGGTTATGGGCTCAATCCCCGGTAGAGGGTGTGCAGGAGGCAGCTGGTGGATGTTTCACTCTCACATCAATGTTTTTTTCTCTCTCTTCCTCTCCCTTCCTCTCTAAAAATCAATAAAAAATCATTTAAAAAAATCCTATACTTGGTCATAAGTTACTTAAAATGCAATAAAAACATAAGTTACAAATACAACATCTAAGATTTATACTTAGCTCATGGGAGCGATTCCACTTATATATGTTACTTCATATGATTTTCCATAACATCCAGTATGAGATTATCCCCATTTCACTGATAAGAAAACTTAAAGAGTTAGTTTAGAGAGTTAGTGGGTGATTGAACTAGGATTTTAAACAATCTAGGTCATGCTCTTTACAGTATATTATATTGTTACTTGCTTGCACAAAACTAATCAATAGTCTTCTGATTGATCTCTTTTTACTTCCATTCCACCATATATATGACAACCAGAATAACTTCTAAAATAAAAAGTCAATCATATTGACTCTCTGTTTAATATCTTTCCATAGATTCATGTAGCCCATAGAATGAAATCCACCAAAGTCCTTGGCATTGCTATACCTTTCAAAACCTAAATCCTTTAAGATTTGGCCCTTGACTACTTATTTCTCCAGCCTCATCTACCTATTTTTTCCTTCTCTTTACCTTCCTCCCCTAAGTTATTCTAAATGATCTATAGTCCCTCAACTCATCTATAATGAAGTCCCTTTTCCCATTACACACTCAATTTGTCAAATTACCACTGATCCTTCAAAATTTAACTCAGAAATCAGTGTATCTACTTTTCCTCAGCCTTCTTAGCACTTTTCCCTAATAATAATTTCTTCTGTGCTATATATTTTTTTTTTAATATATATTTTTATTGATTTTTTACAGAGGGAAAGGGAGAGGGATAGAGAGTTAGAAATATCGATGAGAGAGAAACATTGATCAGCTGCCTCCTGCACACTCCCCACTGGGGATGTGCCCGCAACCAAGGTACATGCCCTTGACCGGAATCGAACCTAGGACCCTTGAGTCCGCAGCCGACGCTCAATCCGCTGAGCCAAACCGGTTAGGCTTCTGTGCTATATTGATATCTGGTTTAAACTTAAAGCATTTAAATACTGTATTGTTTATATGCCTCTACAGTCTATTTGACAATGAGGCCCTAATGGATATCTTATTCATCTTTATATCCCTAGGGTCTAATACACTGTCTGATGATAATAGGCATCAGATAAATGTTAATTAAGCTGAATTCAAGTACAATTAGAAAGTACACAAGTATTAAAAAAAACAAGAATTTCAATTTTGCAAAATACAAATGTTTCGAAGGGGGGAAAGAGCCTGAAATCCTTTAACTGAACTGTGTATAACAATGGCAGTTGTCCTGAAGGTCCCTGCTAGCACTTTGTGCCCCAGCTGGGCCTCCAGAAGGTTCATTACTTTCATATTACCACTGTGGCAATTTATTAATGAGCTCAGAGTAAGCAAGATAAATTGAAATGACAGCCCTGGCAACTAACATCTCTTATTTATCACTAGAGCTAGTCTCTCACTAGCAGTGCCATAGATAAAACAATATTTATATAGTATCTTCTAAGAGATACTGCCAATACTGTGACTGCCACTACTGTGACTGGCACTAAGGGAAATCTAAAAAAGTACAGATCCTCATTAGGATAGGCAAAGAATGTGGTCTTTAAAAATAACTCAAAACTGAAAATCACAGATGTCCATTAGAAGTAATGATAAAGGACTCACGTAATCCATTATTTATGGGTTAAATGCCTATCCAGGAATTAAATGAAGTGCCACTGGAGCTCTTCTTGCTTCACCTGGATGCAGGAGGTATTACAACATATGCATGGAATGGAAACTGAGAACCAGTAGTAGGCATTCTAGAAGAAGGAAGGTCTATAAAACTAAAGCTCTACTCCTCCAAAAGTTTTTTTTTTTTTTTTTTTTTTTTTTTTTTTTTTTTTTTTTTTTTTTTTTTTTTTTTTTTGGAGTTTTTTCTTTATTGAGAAACTTAAAGACTTGGATACATCAAATAAAACCAATTTCTGGGGAAAGATCAAAACCCACAACAGGAAAAAAAAAAAAAAAAGTTAACACTGTCTGAGCCGTAGCAGAACCCAGAGAATATATTCTTTTAATTGAAAAATTCTAGGTGCTTCATAATTGACCTTTTGATACAAAATGACCTATTAAATTTGCAATTTGTGGTTCTTAGTGTTGAGGTCCATAGGACAAGCTAGGAAGTCTTCAAACCTTGAGCTGAATTTCATGAGGGGTTATTTGGCTTTTGAATCGTTTTTTCCTTGCCTAAGAGGTAGCAGCAGCAACAGTGCCCACCTTCTGGGCAGCTTCTTTCTTGGCATGATGAGCCTGTAGAACTGCCACAGCTTCATCCACCTTGGAGCGGAGAGACTCGGGGGACTCCAGCATGTGCAGCAGCTCGGAGTTGTCGATCTCTAGAAGCATTCCCGTAATCTTTCCAGCCAGGTTCGAATGCATGGTTTGGATGAGAGGGAACAAACGTTCGCCCAGCATCTGCTTCTGTTCCTGGGGGGGTGCTGCGGCCAGCATGGAGGCGGTCAGGGGCTCCTGCCCCTGCACATGGACCGCAGGCTGGGGTGCCTGCAGAGGTGGTATGGCAGGGTGAGGGCTGCGGACACTGGAGGCATACTTGTAAGGTGCAACAGCCCGAGGAGCAGCAGCAGCCACAGCAGCGCGAGGTGCTAAGTTCTGCACAGCTGTGGGAACACCTCCAGACTGGCAGCTGTCAGTCAGCCCTTGCTGGGCGGCACCAGCCCCACCAAAGTCCATAGCCAAGCGGTCCGGGCACTCAGACCCAGTTGGAGCCAGGTGGCGAAGAGTTGGACGAGGCCCAGACTGGCGTATAGCACTTGGCATTCCTTGGAAGCCTTGAGGTCTCCCACCTTGCTGCCAGCGTGGATTAGGTCTCATCTGTGCTAACTGGTTAGGTGTGTAATATGGAGGCCTTCCCTGAGCCTGTGGAACGGCTGGCACAAAATAGCCACCAGCTGCAGGCTGGAACTGATTTAAGATGGCATTGGCAGGGAGTGCTCTCATTCCGGCCACCCGCTGCATATACTGGTTCGTCAGGTGAGCCTTTCGCTCTTCCTTCCTCTGGGCCAAGGCGACATACAGTGGCTTGGAGCCCACAATGCGTCCATTCATCTCAGTGACTGCTTTGGTAGCCTCTTCAGGAGATGAGAAGCAGACAAAGCCAAACCCTTTGCTTCTCCCATCCTCCAGCATTACCTTAGCACTGGTGATGGATCCGAAAGGAGAAAACTCTTTCCTTAACTTCTCATCATCAATGGTGTCATCCAAGTTCTTAATGTAGAGATTCACCCCCTGATATCGACTAATTCTCTCTTGCTTCAGTTGTTCAAATTTCCGTTTTAACTCAGCCTGCCGTTCCACTTTCTTCTGTGCACGGCCTACAAAAATGACTTTCCCACTGATTTCTTTTCCATTCATCTCTTCCACAGCCTTATTGGCATCCTCGTGTTTTTCGTAACTCACGAAGCCAAAGCCTTTGGATTTCCCAGTGGGATCTCTCATCACCTTGACACTTAAGGTCTTACCAAACTGGCTGAACAGCTCTTTCAGACTCTCATCATCCACCTCTTCCCCAAAGTTTTTGATATACACATTAGTGAACTCCTTGGCTTTGGCCCCAAGCTCGGCTTCCCGCTCTTTTCGAGACTTGAATCTGCCCACAAACACTTTGCGGTCGTTGAGGAGCATGCCGTTCATCTTCTCGATGGCCTTGTCTGCAGCCTCTTGGGTCTCGAAGTGAACGAAGGCATAACCCTTAGAGCCATTCTCGTCACACACCACCTTGCAGGACAGAATGTTTCCAAACGCAGAAAAAGTATCATAAAGTGCCTTGTTATCTATAGATTTGTCCAAGTTCTTGATGAAGACGTTTCCCACACCCGATTTTCTCAAAGAGGGATCCCTTTGAGACCACATGATGCGGATTGGCTTTCCCTTAATCACATCAAAGTTCATAGTATCCAAGGCCCGCTCAGCGTCGGCCGGCTGCTGGAAGTTGACGTAGGCATAGCCCAGGGAGCGGCGGGTGATCATGTCGCGGCAGACCCGGATGGACAGCACAGGCCCCGCAGGGCTGAACTTTTCATACAGCATGGCCTCGGTGACGTCCGAGTGCAGGTCGCCCACGTACAGGGAGGCCATGGGGTAGCTGCTGGCGGCAGCGTTCATCTCCCCAGCCCCCACGACCCCAAGCCCCGCCAGGACTCCTTACGAGGACCGCACCGGACAAAAGGGGATCTTCCCGGAGCGGGGCCCGCGCCGCGGCTCACAGGTGGCAGCGCTGGCGTAGGCTCGGCGGCGGGAGGCACCGAGCAGGTCGGGGGCGGCTGGCTCGCTCGCTCGCGACTGCGGGGCCGCAGACAAAAGGCTCTCAAAAAACAATATGGCCCTCCCGGGGAGTTTGTAATCTCCAGCTCCCAATTTCCAAAATAGATGTGTTAATAAAAGGGGGACTTCCCTCCCAATTACAAAGATTCTCCAGGAGCCAGGCAAGCGGCGCCCACGCGGCCTCCGGGGTACGCGTTTCTCGTTAAATATAGGCCTCGGGCGGCTGGCGGTTTAAGATTACAGCAGCCGGGGACGAGGGATGCAAAATATTTGTCGGTGTCGGCGCGGCAAGCCTGGGGGGCCGAGCGCGCAGCCGCCTTCACGCCGGGCCGCGAAGGGCAGCGCGGACACGTGGTGCGCGGGGCGGACGGCGCGGGGGGCGGGGGCGCGGGGCTGCCACGCGGCGCGGGCGGCGGCGGCGGCGGCGGCGCGGAGGCGCGTGGACGCGGGCGGCTCACCACCGGACCGACAGACAGGGACCGACGGACGCCCAGGTGCGGCGGCGGCGGCGGGCAGGCCGGAAGCGTGCACAAGTGACTTCCCCGCGGGTTCTCCGAGGAGGATTCGCTTTTTCTTTCTCTCTTTTATTTTTCTTTTTTTTTCAGATTTTAGAGCGTTTTCGAGTTTTTTTTTATCTTTTTCTCTTTTTTTTCCTTCAGGCTACTGAGCCCGAAAGCGGGAGAAGCTGCGGCGACCCGGGGCGGAGAGAAAAGTTTTTTTTTTTTAAATATATTTTTATTGATTTCAGAGAGGAAGGGAGAGGGAGAGAGAGAGAGAGAGAGATAGAAACATCAATGATGAGAGGGAGAAACTAAGATGGCGGCATAGGGAAACACCGAAATTGCTGCCTCCTACAACAACTTCAAAACACAATAAACAGACAAAACGGACATCATCCAGAACTCACAGGAAGGCTGGCGGAGTGGACATTCTACAACTAGAAGGAAGGAGAAAAGCACATTGAGGGTCAGGAGCTGCGGAAGTAAAGTGCAAAGGTACGGAGGCTCGAGAGTGCGCGGAAAGGGGCTGGTACCTGAGGACGCAGCTGTCTTTTTGAATCGGGAGGGAGTCACAAGCTCCCGACTGCTCTGAACTCCGGTTCCGGGAAGTCTCTGGGGACCCAGGACTTATACGGGGAGAAACTGGACTGTCTGGCAGTGGGCAGAACTCGGAACTCGAGGGCGGCTTTCCCTCAGAGGTGCTTGCAGCAACTGGATTGTCAGGACACTGAGACACTCTCGGCCCCTTAGGGCAGGGCTGAAAATCCGCCATAGTTCCTCGATCCGCCCTTTGATTCCCTGAGACCCCACCCCACCCAGGCTGCGGCAGAGGCTTTTGCATATGAATGCTCTGGCCCTTTGCAACCTGAAAATTACCTAACAAATTGCAGCTGGGCCACAGACCCAGAACTTCCAAGAGAAGGCCCAAGGTCCCACAGCAGCTTGCATTGCTTCACAGCTGGGCCTCATCAGGGCATCTCCAAACTCCAAAAAAAGGAAGGGGAATCTGCAGTTCTCTTCATAGCTCCTGCTGGGTAACCTCCAAGAGCCAGTGTACCCAGTGGTCAGAGGGGGACCATCCGGATTACAACTCCTCAGATCCATAAGGGACACACCCAGGGGGCAGACTCAGTGAGCACCAAAGCCCCATTGAAGCAAGTCTTGCCCCAGAAGGGTGTCTTCAGCACAGAAGTTCTCCCACTGCAGACACAGCCGATTCTCACTGCCAATTGGCCTGGAGGTCAATTCCTCCCAGTGATCCTACAACAATCAAGGCTTAACTACAACAAGACTGTGCACAAAGCCTACAAGGGGGTGCACCAAGAGTGTCCACCTCAGGTAACTGGGGAGGCTGAGCCACTGGGCCCTACAGGACACCTAGCACACAAAACCACTCTACCAACACAGGGAAGCATAAAAAATGCGGAGACAAAGAAACAGGTCACAAATGACAGAAATGGAGGAAAGCAAACGACTGGATATAGAGTTCAAAACCACGTTTATAAGGTTTTTCAAGAATTTTATGGAAACCGCCGATAAATTTAGTGAGACCCTCAAGAAATCTAGTGAGACCCTCGAGGATATGAAAAAGGACCAACTAGAAATTAAGCATACACTGACTGAAATAAAGAATAATATACAGAGATCCAACAGCAGACAAGAGGATCCCAAGAATCAAGTCAAAGATTTGAAATACAAAGAAACAAAAAATACCCAACCGAAAAAGAAAAAAGAAAAAAGATTCCAAAAATATGAAGATAGTGTAAGGAGCCTGTGGGACAACTTCAAGCATACCAACATCAGAATTATAGGGATACCAGAAGAAGAGAGAGGGCAAGATATTGAAAACCTATTGCCGGGGTCCAACCCCAGCAGGTCCAGGGGTCCCCAAAGGTGTGGACGGAGTCGGCGAAGAAGGAAGGGCACGGAGACAGTGTTCAGTTGATCAGCAGCCTAGCCAGGATCTCCAGCCAGGATCTCCAGCCAAGTTCTGGTCTGGATCTCCAGCGAAGTTCTGCTTAGGATCTCCAGCCAGGTTCTGTGTCCATGTTGTCTTGCTAGGTTCTCCAGCCAGGTTCTGTCCAGGTTCTCCAGCCAGGTTCAGTAACCAGGTTCTAGTCAGGTTCTTTTGCCAATTTCTGTAGTCAGGTTCAGTCCAGGATCTTTTGCCATGTTCTCTCGCTAGGTTCTGTCTCTAGGTTCTGAGGCCAGTTTCTGTCCAGGATCTTTTGCCATGTTCTCTCCAGCGAAGTTCTTCTGTCTCCAGAGAATGTTCTGTGTAGGTTCTGTGCCTAGGTTCTGTCTCTCAGTTCTGTGTTCTAAGTTCTGTGTTCTAAGTTCTGTGTTCTAAGTTCTGTGTTCTAAGTTCTGTCTCTTGCTGTCTTATTACATCTGTATTTATACCAGTTGATTCAATCCTATCAATCTCTATTACAAAGGTTAGGGCGTTTCTTATCTCCATTCCAGGGAGTAAAGATTATGTAGCTTAAGCATGATTGTTCGTAGTTAAAGTGATTAATTACCCACCTGGCACTTAGTTAAGAGGTTTTATTCCCTCCCTAACTTCAGGGGAAAATCCATACTTGGGGAAACAACCTTTCTCAGAGACCTTGGTTAAAACACATAGTGCCAAGAAGGTGAGCAAACATTTTAAGGACAGTATGCCATATATGCCAGGTCCCTTGAAACAGCAAGGATGGATCGGCTCCCGGCAACCTATTTGAAGAAATCATGACAGAAAACCTCCCCTACCTGGTGAAAGAAATAGACTTACAAGTCCAGGAAGCGCAGAGAACCCCAAACAAAAGGAACCCAAAGAGGACCACACCAAGACACATCATAATTAAAATGCCAAGAGCAAAAGACAAAGAGAGAATCTTAAAAGCAGCAAGAGAAAGAAACTCAGTTACCTACAAGGGAGTACCCATACGACTGTCAGCTGATTTCTCAACAGAAACCATGCAGGCCAGAAGAGAGTGGCAAGAAATATTCAAAGTGATGAATGCCAAGAACCTACAACCAAGATTACTTTATCCAGCAAAGCTATCATTCAGAATTGAAGGTCAGATAAAGAGCTTCACAGATAAGAAAAAGCTAAAGGAGTTCATCACCACCAAACCAGCATTATATGAAATGCTGAAAGGTATTCTTTAAGAAGAGGAAGAAGAAAAAGGAACTCTTACCATTTGCCACAGCATGGATGGAACTGGAGAGCAGATAAATACCACATGATCTCACTCATTTGTGGAATATAATGAACAACATAAACTGATGAACAAGGACTGATCCAGAGATGGAGAGGCATTGATTGGATTGTCGGGCCTTGGAGGGAAGGTAGGGGAGGGTGGGGGTAAGGGGGAAAGATCAACCAAAGGACTTATATGCAAGCATATAGGCCTAACCAATGGACATGGACAACGGGGGGGGGGCGGGGTGAGGGCATGAGCGAGTGGGGGGTAGGGGGTAACGTGGGGATAAGGACACATATGTAATATCTTAATCAATAAAAAATATATTTAAACAACAAAAAAAGAGAAACATCAATGATGAGAGAATCATTGATCAGCTGCCTCCTGGAGGCCCCCTACTGGGGATCAAGCCTACAACCCCGGCATGTGCCCTTGACTGGAATCGAACCTGGGATCTTTCAGTCCACAGGCCGACGCTCTATCCACTGAGCCAAACCAGTTAGGATTCCAAAAGTTTTTGAAGGCCCCTTGGTACCAAGGATCCCTACCAATGATTTAAGGCTACTCTCCTGAGATAAAGGCAAATCATAAGTTGTAAACTTTGTAGTGCAACTAGACACAAATATGATTTAAAAGAAGAAAGAGAAATGGTATGAAATCCTAGCGATATAGATACCACATACACTCACCATCTTTCACTAATGACTATAGTACCTCCAGGTTAACACCCGTTTTTGGCTTCTTAGGGCTGGCATTAACAAAGTACCATATATTGGATGCAATAAACAGAAATTTATGCTCTCACAGTTCTAGAGGCTAGAAGTCTGAAATAAAAGTGTTGCAGGGTCATGTTCTCTCTGAAGTCTGCAGGAAAAGATCCTTCCTTGCCTCTTTCAGCTTCTGGTAGCCCCAGGAAACTAATACAGATTTTGGTACTGATGAGTGCTGCTCTAACAAAAACTTAAAAATGAGGAAGTAGCTTTGGATCTGAATAATAAGTAGAGGATTGATAGAGAAAACCTAGACTGCACTGAAGAGATGGTAGGCAGAAATATGAACACTAAAGGTGCTTCTAAGTGAGCCTTTAAAAGGAAATGATGTCCGGTCAAGGGCATGTACCTGGGTTGCGGGCACGTCCCCAGTGGGGGATGTGCGGGAGGCAGCTGATCGATGTTTCTAACTCTCTGTCTCTCTCCCTTCCTCTCTGTGGAAAATCAATAAAATATATTTAAAAAAAATAAAAGGAAATGATGAACATGTTATTAGATACTGGAAGAAAGACACTTCTTGTAACAGCGGCAAAAAACTTGTCTGAATTGTGTTCAGCCATTGAGTGAACTTGTATGTGATGAACTTAAGATATTTAGTTGAGGAAATTCTAAGAAAATTGTTTACATTGTGATCTACTTTTTCCTTGGTGCTTATAGTAAAATATGAGAAGAGATAAACTGTTAAGTAAAAAGGACCCAGCACTTGGTGATTTGGAAAATTCTCTGCCTATCCAGACAGACAGCGTGCTCTGAAGACAGGGCCAAGGGTGTGGCTGGACAATCATTTGTCTGACTCATGGATATAATCAACCACTACAGAAGTTAGAAATAGATATGGGTATATACACATGGTTACCCAGGAAAAATCAAAATAGAGATATGGTTATATATACATGATTACCCAGGAAAGATCTGCAGAGGACCCTCTTGTCAAATGGTTTGGGCCCCATGAATTATATGAGAGACTGACAAGGTTTTTGAGAATTTCATACCAGCGGAAGTGCTTCCAGCCTGGACTGAAAGGGAGAGAGAAGAAAACAAAATAAAGGAAGAATAACACCAAGGGCAGCACCACAGATGACTGAACCACTGGGATCCTCTTGAGCTAAAAGGGTGGGGCTGTCCCAGCAGGACAGAGGACAGAGCATCCAGACAGGATTATCCCAAGCCTTGCAATTAAACGGAATTTGCCCCATGTGTGGAATTTGCTTTGGACTAGCAACCATTTTATTCCTTCCATTTTC